TCAGGGGACTTGGGCATACAACCAGATACCCTCATCAAACATTGTGCCTGACTGCACCACCTAATTTTGTGGTAGCCTGGTTTCCTGTCATTTGTGAATATAAAGCAAGCTTCAATCCAGGCACAACCCCATGCCCAAAAAGCCTGAAAAGACATGGCAAATACAGCCCAGCCATTTGCACCCTTGCTCTGTTTGCTGCAGATGTTTAGTGTAGTCCAGTCAGCAGCCTTTTCCAATCCTGGCTAACCAAATGAGAAAGGGTTCCTATGAACCCCAAATGTGGCTCTCAAGAGATCAAAGGATAAACATGGTTTCATCTCTGGGTTGCTCCTGGCCCCCTCCAGGTAACAAGAGACCTAGCAAGAATGTAGCCACAAGGTAGCAGGTGGGGAAGAAAAGCTGCAGCTGATGAGTGAAGGCAGTTGTGGGGAGGGGGAAAGGATGAGACAACTCACCCCAGGCTGGGCCTCAGTTCATCCCCACACCAGTGCCCCAGAATGATCGAGCTGAGTTGGGGCTCCTGGGTGAGGAAGAGCAGGGTGGAATTAAATTAATTAGTGCCTTGTTGTCATAACCACAGCTGCTGTTAACCGTCAGCTGTTTCTCTCCCTTCCCTCTTGGTTCAGAGCTGGGCTGCCTCTCTGGGACCACCCATTTGTTCCCATTCAGTTTTCTGCCTTTCCCCCCTGTCCTCAGGAAGAAGGAACATGACATGCACCCCTGTCATGGATGAGCAAAGCCCCAGTCATTCTCGGTTGCTGAACCACACACAATTCATGGGGCCCTGGGGTGCTGCATGAGAATGGCTCGATCAGACTCTTTGTGCATCACAGCCCCAGGGGTGGGAAATGGGTGCAACATACACTTTTGTGGTGTCTGGGTGGGTTTGTGTCAAAGAAAGTTACAGTGCAATTTAAGGGAATACTCACTTTTGAGCGATTGTCTTGTTTTTCTTTTTAGCCTTCAGAAGGTGGGAGAATGTCCACACAGAAAGGATGGAGGGGGCAGTGGGAATCTCGGGAGGGCCAGAGGAATTGGGTCCTATGGTCGGTGGTGATTTCCCTGAAACAGCTTCCATGTGAAAGTCACACTGAGCCAGAAATATTATAGAAAAGAGCCACTGAAATTTCAGAGGTCAGAATATTTCCGCTATGAGGAAAAGCTAAAATGCAGGGGGGGGAGGGTTGGGGTCTTGGGGAAAAGGTTTCCAAAATTAGAGAGGGCCTTTTCTCTCATAACTATATAACCTGGGCTTGGGTAGCAGCACCTGAGCAGCCTCCTCTGGACGTAGAAGCCAAGAGGTGTGATCAGTTCTTGCCCGAGAAGTTACAAAGGCAGACTGGGGTGGAAGCTCACAAAGTTCTCACAACAGCATAAATTAAAGAAGTGGATCAGCCAGGTCACAGTTGATAAGCTGTTTCCTGCCCCAAAGAGATTTGCCTCTAGCTCTTTACACAGAGAAGAATAGTTGAGAAGAGCAGGAAATCTGAACACAGATTGTCATAAATATAGTCTGCACTTGAAACCTAACGATTGCTGGATTTTTTTCACCGTGGCCTCACACTTTTATTACAACCAATCTCTCTGCCTGGGAAATATATTCTTGCAGTGTTTTACCAGCTCTAAGGCTGGTTCCCTACAAGAAAGCAGCAACCTCTCCTCCCACTCGCAAATGGGCCACTCTCGGCCCTTTGGTGTTGCAGGGACAGGAAAAACAGAGCCCAGGGCTGAACCTGGGGCCAAAGAGAGGAAGCGGGGGGGGGGAGACAGCTTGGGTCTTGCAGTTGCTAGTAAGAGGTTTCAATTAGTGTCTTTTCTAGCTCCTGCAATAAAAACTGCCTTATCAAGAGCTGTGTTCTCCAGTATCTGCCTGTGAGACTTCTTGCTCTGGTTTTGGTCTGACAGCTGCACTGGGAAGTCAAAATAAATATTCTGGAAGACAGTAATAAACCACTCGCACATTACTGCAGGGACGGATGTATGTGAAAAAAATCAGGACAATGGTCATGCCTTTGTGACTGAAGCCTGACCTATTTTTATATGACACACACAAAGCCAATATATGTACATGTGTTGCACACATGTTAAAGGGGGGGCATTTAGTTTGGACCACCACCTTGATTCTCCCTGCACATGTCCTGCCAAGAAAATTGCACAGATGTCTCCTTGAAGTCATTAGCAGTGAAGGATAATTCAAAGGAAACCTCTTCATTTATCTGCATGCCTAGGAGCTGGCATACTTTTCTCCACTGACTATGCGAGAGCTTCCATGACTCTAAACAGGACAAGGTACATTGTTGGGGGAGGGGGGAGAGAACAATCAACAGTTGTTGTTGTTAGTTGCGAAGTTGTGTCCGACCCATCACGACCCCATGGACAATGTTCCTCCAGGCCTTCCTGTCCTCTACCATCTTCTGGAGTCCATTTAAGCTCACGCCTACTGCTTCGGTGACTCCATCCAGCCACTTCATTCTCTGTCGTCCCCTTCTTCTGTTGCCCTCAATCTTTCCCAGCATTAGGCTCTTCTCCAGTGAGTCCTTCCTTCTCATTAGGTGGCCAAAGTACTTGAGTTTCAACTTCAGGATCTGGCCTTCTAAAGAGCAGTCAGGGCTGATCTCCTCTAGGACTGACCAGTTTGATCGCCTTGCAGTCCAGGGGACTTGCAGGAGTCTTCTCCAGCACCATAGTTCAAAGGCCTCAATTCTTCGGCGCTCAGCCTTTCTTATGGTCCAACTTTCACAGCCATACATTGCAACTGGGAAAACCATGGCCTTGACTATACGCACTTTTGTTGGCAGGGTGATGTCTCTGCTTTTTAGAATGCTGTCTAGATTTGCCATAGCTTTCCTCCCCAGGAGCAAGTGCCTTTTAATTTATTGGCTGCAGTCCCCATTTGTGGTGATCTTGGAGCCCAGGAAAATAAAATCTGTCACTACCTCCATTTCTTCCCCATCTATTTGCCAGGGAAGGCTGGATGCCATGATTTTGGTTTTCTTAATGTTGAGTTTCAAGCCAACTTTTGCACTCTCCATCTTCACCCACATCAAGAGGCTCTTTAGTTCCTCTTCACTTTCTGCCATTAGAGTGGTATCATCTGCATATCTTAGGTTGTTGATATTTTTCCCGGCAATCTTAATTCCAACTTTTGATTCATCTAGCCCTGCCTTTCTCATGATGTGTTCTGCATATAAGTTAAATAGGCAGGGAGATATACTGATACAGCCTTGCCGGACTCCTTTCCCAATTTTGAACCAATCAGTGGTTCCGTGTCTAGTTCTCACTGTTGCTTCTTGACCCGCATATAGGTTTCTCAAGAGACAAATAAGATGGTCTGGTACTCCCATCTCTTTAAAAATTTGCCACAATTTGTTGTGATCCACACAATCAAAGGCTTTAGCATAGTCAATGAAGCAGAAGTAGATGTTTTTCTGGAACTCCCTAGCTTTCTCCATGATCCAGTGCATGTTGGCAATTTGACCTCTAGTTCCCCTGCCTCTTCAGAATCCTGCCTGTACTTCTGGAAGTTCTCGATCCACATACTGCTGGAGTCTAGCTTGTAGGATTTTAAGCATAACTTTACTAGCATGTGAAATGAGCGCAATGGTGCGATAGTTTGAACATTCTTTGGCATTACCTTTCTTTGGAATTAGAATGTAAACTGAACTTTTCCAATCCTGTGACCATGGACCTTTCTTATTTAGAAGTTGTTCACCCAATGTAGGTCGTAAGAAAGACAGAGTGTCACTTTCATATTTGTTTATCCATTCATCTATATTTATATCCTGCCTTTATTGTTTTTAGAAGTAACTCAAGGTGGTGAACATACCCAACACACCTTCCTCCTCCTATTTTCCTTTGAGGCTAGTTGGGCTGAGCGAGAGACTAACTGGTCCAAAGTCACCCAGCTGGCTTTCATCCCTAAGGTGAGACTAGAACTCACAGTCTCCTGTTTTCTGGCTGGAGCCTTCACCGCTTTATCTTCTTTGCAAAAATGCTTAAAGGCCTTAGAAATTAAGGAACGGGCCTGAGGCCTCTGGGTGCTGACCAGCATTGGGGGAGGCTATGTACATTTTGCTTCTTTCAGTGGCCTTTTCAGTAAAGAAACGTTACACGCAAGCAGATGCTGCAATCTAAACTGGATTACCAAGCTAGGTGACATCCATGTGGGCTGGGAATTATGGAACCTGTTATCTGATCCATTTGGAGAACTCAGTCTGGCTAGAATGGCAGGAGTAAGGCAATTTCTGGGCTGAATCTCCACTGTGCACTTAGCTAATAAGAGTTTCTCAATCTTGGTGGCCAGAATTCCCCAGCCAGGCAGTTCTGGGGGCTGAAGTCCGCCTGTCTTAGAATTGCCAAGACCGAGAAACACTGGCTATCAGTTTGTACCTGAACTAAACAGTGCAAGAATCCCAGAACCGCGGGCCTCAGTCGGGGATATTCTGAGGTGGCCCAGCTGCTGCTGACCTCAACAGGCTTGTAAGCAAACCTCCACAGCTGGGTTTTCAGACATGCCAGCTAGGCTAAAATGGATTTGGGGAGCTTGTATTTCAGGATGCTGCAGAAACCAGGCCATGGCCGGTGGTTACGGTGCGAGTCTGGCTTTGCAGGTTGCGTGAACCAGCCACCGTTTGCAGAAGACCAGGAGGCAGGACTCCACTTCGGGGCCTCTTGGAAAGGAAGGAGAAGAGAGGGGAAGGTCGCCTGTTGAAGTTCACCGAGGGAAGCCAGGGGGAGGAAGGCAGTCACCGCGTCTCCCTCTTTCCCGCTAACTCGTGAAGATACCCCCGCACGGACGCGGCCGTGGGGCGCCGGGAGGCAACGGCGAACGAAGAGGGGAACGAAGCGGCGCCGCCGAGCCGGAAAGACCATCCGCCGGACGCCCCGTTGGGCTTGAGCTCCGCGCCCTTCTTCCCCAGCTCAGAGCGCTCCCCCGACGGCCCTTTCTGCAGGAGGCGGCCGACCGCCGAGGCCGGGCTGCCGACGCCGAGAGCGGGGGCAGGGCCGGTCCCGGTGGAGAGAAACCGGCGGAGGGCGCTGCGCTGGCGCTCCGGCTCCGCTCCCCCCGTCGGGAAAAGGGCGGAGCCGCCCGAGACCGGCCGCGCCGCCCCCGCCCCCCGCCGGGCTTATATCCCCGTCGGGCGAAGCGGGGGGAGCTCCGCTGGGCGGCTGAGGGCGCGAGCGGCGGGTCTGGCGCGGGGCTCGGCGGCCCCATGGCGTCGGGGTGGGGAAGGCTGCCCGGGCCGGGCCTCCTGTTGCTGCTGTCGCTGCTGCTGCTGCCGCTGCTCCCGGGCCCGGCCGGCGCCTGGTACAAGCACGTGGCCAGTCCGCGCTACCACACGGTGGGCCGGGCGTCGGGGCTGCTGATGGGCATCCGCCGCTCTCCCTACCTCTGGCGCCGGGAGGAGGCCGGCCCGCAGCCCCGCCGCGGCCCCCCGCCGGACCTGCCCCCGCGGTGGCTGCGCCCGCCCCGCCCCGCCTGGCCCGCGCCGGAGCCTCCCCGCTCCGACGGCCGCTGGGCGCGGGAGTTGCCGGCGTGGCTGGCCGGACGAGCGGAGGGCCCGGGCGCTTCCCTTGCGGCCGAGGGGGCCCGGGCCGGCCCTGCGGAAGCGGAGGCCGCCCAACAGGTAACGGCCAGACGGGGCGGGCGGGCGGGCGGGCGGGCGGCAGCGACTCCGCCCGGGAGAGGCCGCCGCGGCCAGGGGGGAGCCGCTTCCGGGCGGGGGGCGCCGCGAGGTCAGCCCTCCCTCGGCCCTTCGCCCCGCGGGGCTGCTGGGCCGGAGCCGTCGGGGCGTCCGCGGGGCAGGCGAGACGCTCGGGCGGGGCTGCTCCGAAGGCGGCGCGGCTCCCCCGCCTCGGGCTCCGCCGGCCAGTTTCGGTTGCCCGGCGGCGGCGCCCGAAGGGGCTCTCGGCAAGGGTTCCGCGGGCGGCGGGCGAAAGCTCTCGGACGGGAGCCTCGGAGGCGGGCAAAGGCCAGCACGGCGTCGGGCAGGGGGTAGCTCGCCTCAGCCGGACTCGACGTCGGGGGAAGGACGGGGGTCTCCTCTCCTCCCACCTGCCGCCTTTTCCGGGCGCGCCTTCCGCCCAGTTGCCGGGGGGCGGCGGGGCGGGGAGAGGCTCGGCGGGCCTGGAAATGAACCGGCGGGGGGGGGGTTCCGAAGAGGTCGTCCCTCTTTCTTTTCCCCATCGTCGTCAAAGCAAAGGGCGTTTCGGGGCGGGGGAGGACTTGGGGAGGTGCAAGGAGCCGCTTTGCCTCTCTGGTGCAAACGCTGCGCAGTTACTCAGCAGCGTCGGGGAGCTCTGGGCGCGAACTGAAGGGGCTCCCGGGAGGTCCCGGTGGATACTTTAGAAGCCTCTTGGGGCAACAGACGGGGGGGGGGGGCTCGGCTTTCAGACAAGAGTGGTAGGCTGGGGATTCTGGCAGCTGAGGTCCCGCTGCCTGCCTGGCTGAGCGTTGTGGGAGAGCTGCAGAGCCTGTTCCTCTTCTCTTAAGCCACCCCAGTTGCTGTTTCAGTTTGTACAGCCCTTTACCCTTGACGTGACCTTAATTTACCCCATTAACCACTAAATGGTTTTCCTACAGCCAATTTTGGGGAGCAGACCAGCTTATCAAGTCATTGCAGTTTGCCGCTTTCTTAGGTGTGAGGCATGATGTTTGTGAGAAAGGGACCGTGTCTGAGCGCCTGCCCTTAGCCATCTTGCTCGCTGTTTTGCCCCCTCCTCAGAAGGAGCCCCCAGCAAGGGAGAGAAGTCCTTCGGTGAGATGCAAACAGCTGCTAAGACACCCACTTCACCAGCTTCTCTTTTCATCTCTTTCAGTATTTTCAAATCTGAGATATGATTTCATGTGAAGCCACAAGTCCTGTGGGAAGAACGCCTGAGAAAGGCCACGGGGAGGGGGGGGTCACGGAAACCGATTTGGGAAGCAGAGTGTGAGCAAAGAACGGAGCGAGCGGCTTGCCTGTCTTCTCCCCCCCCCCCCAGGAAACCATCTGTCCCTGCTTGCCTTGAACCTGCCCGGACTTGCTGGAGGCCACAGAGTGAGTCTTTGGGCCCGTGGAATTGGGGCCCCTGTTTGATTCTCTTCTTTCCAACCGTTGAGACGTGGACGAGAAACTCCTGCCGTCTTCTAGCCAACTTCATGCTGACGTCTGAGGGTGGAGAAGAAAGAAAAATGTATGAAGTTCGTTATGCTTTTTCAGATGTCTCTAATGGCTTTTTGCTATATGATGTGTACTCTGCCTTTTCCCCCTCTGGGACGCTGTACTAATTAAAACTGAAATGTAATCAACCCGCTTTGAAGTTGTAATAAAAGATTGGATAAATTTTGGAGGAAAAGGAGTATGAGGATGGGCTCAGCAGGTGAGCACCAAAAAGAGGAGGGCCAAAATGGGGGCGCTGAGGGATGGAAGGAAAATATAAACCAGGGTTTGTTTTGAGAAATATAAGGCTATGGGTCTGGTGTGAGTGTGGGCCTTTCTGCTACTCTTTACAATGACGGATTGTTTTCTAAACTTCCACAGGGCTTGAAATTTTTTTCAAGGAATCCACTCAAAGTTAACACAACTCTTAAAATAGCTGCGGTTGTTGCAGGCTTCTGCAGAAGTCTTTCAGATACCAGCCTGCTTTAATTTATAACAACAGCATCCTGGGTTCATGCAACCACTACTCTGATCATTTTCAAAGGATTGTAACAATGTTTCCCAACCCTGGCAACTTTAGGATATGTGGACTTTACCTCCCAGAATTCTCCAGGCAGCTTGCTGTCCACATGTCTTAAGGTTGCTAAGGTTGGGAAAGACTGGATTATGGCCTTATCAGAAATCCCATTTCCTTCAAACCCAGCAAGGGCCAAGTGTGCCTGGTGGGCTCTGAATGCTGGAGCTCTGCAGCAAGGCGTCTCACTTCTGTGAGGTGTAACAGATTATCAATCTGGCAAAATTCAAGAGCCTCAAAAGCTTCACTCGAATGAACAGACTTCAGAAATGGCAAGTGCAGTTTAATGGGTATTTGAATTCTGCTTTTCATTAAAATCTCAGAATACTTTACAATAAAAGTCAAAACAATCTCTTGAGTGCAGCTGAGTTTAAACAATCATAAAATGATGCATGTTATGTGCAAAATCAAACTTCTCTTGTCTCGGTGGGAACTGAATTGTCAGTGTCTGAACAGGAAAGAGATCCGGCAGCTGCCACACGCAGCGGTTGGATGTGAGCCTCCAGTATCATCAGATGCCCCCAAACCACACACACACTGCTGCATCCTGAAGAAGTCGCAGTTTCTGGATGCTCATCAAAGGAAGCTTCCTATACAGTCCATTGTGGTAGTCCAAATGGAGGGGGGACCAAGGTGTGAGATAATGTGAGTAGTGTCTCCCAATTAGGAAATGGGATCAATTGGCACACAAGAAAAACCTGTGAAAAGGTCTTCCCAGCCATGGCTCCTACCTGCTCTTCTCTGAATCCAAGAAGAGCCCCAAATAGCACAATAACTCAGGAATGCAATCCCATTCAAAGCTGAAGAGGGAGAATCTTCCCCCAAACCCAGCCATTCTGTCCTTCCAAGACTGAGCTGGATCTACTCTTTCCCATCCAATCCCCCACAGTCTCCAGTCCCTGGGAAAGATCCTTGATGGTATCACTAGATCAATTCAAGACAGAAATGCCTAGCTGGGTAATGTTGCTTTATTTAATTTACTTATATATTCAGAGAGGGCTCATCTCCCCAATAGAGCAACACAGCCTCAGTGTACAATGGATGACCTCCCCCCAAAATGAGGAACCTGTAAGGACCTGCCCCAACTGGCCCTCTCAAGAAATCACAGCACCATGGGGTTAATCAAAAGAACGTTTACTGAGAGACAGGAGGTTGCAGTAAGGTCAAGCAGAATCTAACATTCCCGTGCAAAGCGCCCAGCTATTCTTCCCACTTTGAAATCCAGCCCCCTGACCAGTTCAGCAGCCAATACAGCATCGCAAAGTTGTTTTGAGAGCTCTGAGGTACAGGACAGATAACGGTCATCCTCAGGGCGCACTGACCTTGAAGTCAGGCTGGAACCGGCTGGGAGGGAGTCCGTTCTATCTCCGAAGATGATCCCCCTCCCTAATTCTCAAGCAGTTACAGTGTTACAGCAAAAGTGAAAGTATGCAAAGACTGCTCCCCCAAAGAGAGACCTCCTCCCCCCTCCACCAGAACGGCAGGGCACCCTAAAAAAAGGGGACCTGACCAAAGGGGACCTCTCAGCCCAAGAGAATTCTTAAGAGAGGCCATCAGCACGGGGTCAGTTGGCTTTCCTGCAGCTCTAGGCCTCTCTTTGGCCCTCTCAGTCAGGTCCTCTGGAAGCTGGCCAAGCTTACAGGTGCAATTTGGTTCTCATTCCAGTTCTCATTTCAAGCAGTGACCAAGGCCTCGGCCCAACTGCACCAGGAACAACCCAGGTTCCTTTGAAACCCAGTAGGATCCACTGGATGCTGGGATTAAAGGAAGAAACTATACAAGTGGGTCCCATCTCCCTGCAGGGGAGTGCAGCCAAAGGAACTTCAAGGCCAACAGATCGGCCTGTGATCAAGGACTGATGGAAGACCATGTCACTGCCTGAGAGAAGTGCCAGATCTGCCTGTGACCCTCCAGGAGTTGGGCCAGAAATGGCAACCAGAGACAAGCTGGCCACGTCTGATCCTGACCCAAGGAAGAAAGGTTGGGAGTCTGCCAGTACCATAAACCTGAGGAACTCCACTGTCAACCCAGCCCTGGGTTCAAGCATCTCCAGGGGAGGCTGCCGTGCAGTGGGGACAGTACACCCACCACAAACCCCGCAGCCCAGCAACACATACGGAATTACACAACCAGCCAAATGTGGACCAGCTTCCCTGGAAAGGCAGGTAGATCAGATAATGATCGTCGAGCCATTGCCGTCGCCTCTTACCCACACTGTCATCCCACAGTTTAAGTCTGACTGGACCCCTATTTTGACACCAATTGCAAACGGTACACAATTGCAGAGTTTTGAATCAGAGTTTGGATGTACTTAACGCTTTTACTACTATTCTCAGATCCAGCACAACTAATTAGAGCTACATATCACTGATCCACATGAAGTCCCTAACTAATGTAAGCAGAGGGTCCTCTAAATTAGTAATCAGATCATTACCCAAAGTTGTCTTGCAGCTCCTTTCCCAGATGTCCCATTGTGAAAAAAGAGTGACAGCAGCAAATGAAACAGCAAGCTATAAAGTGGAGAATTTTTTACATGCTGCATCTACACTTGTCACACACTTCTCCCAGTGGACCCTTTTCTCCCTGCTTACCTACCTCATACCCTACACGTGTTGCAGAGAACAGCTGATTGTCATTCATTTTGTTGTGAAATATGGTTACATTTTAGAAGAGAATATTTGGGGGAATGGGATTCTTGATCATGGAAGTTCGGGTCCTGGTTCCTGGTACTTGATCCATCAGTCATCCTTCTTCTGGATTTTCTACCCTTTGGCCCATCTCTGTTTTTGGCCCTCCTAGGATGCTGCTGTACTTCCATGTTCCTTAGATCAAGGATTCACCCTACAGTTCATCAAGCCCATCATCCCTCAGGATCACCAGAAAAATGGTTTGCTGAATCAGCAGCTCTTACATATGTTATATTGTATGTTATGAATTTATCACAAATATATAAGTTATGAATACAGAGGGTCTGTAATACAACCATAGTTAGCCTTTTCATGAACTCACTGGGAAACTCACATTGCTCCAGTTTATGTACTATTGATAAGGAAAGATTCTGAGTGCGTGTATGAACGATTTATTGTTGGTGATACCAGGTAGAACATTAGTGGGCGTAAGGAGTGTACTGGATTGCGCTTTTCATGGAGTCTTGGAACAGAAAGTAAGAATGTTAAGTTGTTGACGTAACCTGATGTACATATGAATCCTGAGTAAACAAGCTGGGTATAAAGAGAAGACTGGAATGAACCAGACTCCGAAGTTTGAGATGACTCTGGTTGGCTCAGGGGGTGCCCTGAATCTGCTTCCCAGCCCACTCTGACACGGCCTGATCACCTGTGTTGAGAGTGTAAGTGTCAGAATCCAATTATATTTCATCTCTATTTATCAACTATAGAAAACCCCATTTCTGCCTTCTCTGGATTTTGTCATATAAGGAAGGGAAGGGGGTGAACAAAGGGGCTTTATGGCCCTCACTTCCTTCAGTACACTTCAAAGGGACTGGATGTGGATATCACCAAAAGGACTAACCATAACAATGGGGCTATTACCTTTCATGTACTCCTCTCTGAAGTCTCCATCCAGCCGGCAGTAAGGAAAAGGGGGTGGAAGTGTAATGCCTGAGACTGTCGCTGGAAGAAGGGGATGATTGGGTGGGGCCACTGGGGAACCCCTTAAAACCTTGAATGGGAGAGCTTGGACACCAAGTCCTGTCTAGAACGCCTGCAACCATTTTCTCTTAATAAAGGATGCCCGTTGGAAGAATTATTCCAAGAGTTCTGTCTTCTTAAGATGCAAAGTGGGGGGGGTCCTAACAGTAAGTGAGTATTGTGTGAATGAACACCCTAGTTGGGCAGCAATACTTACAGCAACTTGAGTAGCTTTGTTGGGCACAGTTGTTTGAATAGCCTTGTTAGGCATAACTTATTGTAGTAAGATAATTGAAATTAGACAAGTATATATACAAATATAAAGGAACTTATTAAATTTAATTGCACACGCCTTGCATTTTGTCCGAATAACACAAGAATAAAAGAACTATGGAAAACTTCACTTTGAGTGGCTTGAACTCAATTTTATGACACAGCCAGGAGGTGCCATTCTATCCAAACAGATTCTCTCTGACTCAACCAGCTTTGGTTTCCAACAGACAGGGAGATAGGGATGACTTGGATTACTCCCAAGAAGACTCTTATTGTCAGGGAGAAACATAACCTCCTGCTCTTGAGGAACCCCACCACAGCCTTCTTGATAGTGGCTTTGGTGGCTCTGCCTTCTCAAAAATCCCCCCCCCCATTCTCTTTTGGCATCCATGCACAATATTTTCTCAGACTGCAGCTATTTATTCTGGGTGCGCCACTAATTTTTTCTTTGATTTTTGTTTTGGGTTACAAAGGCTTGCTTCCTTTATATTGGTAGAGGTACCTCAGGATTAAAAGATGGATTATCACTGTTCTAATTAAAAATAGTATTAAGGTTCTTAACAAGTATATCAATGATGGTATTGAACGGATCATAATATTGAGCATTCACAGCAGCCCTTAAAACTGAACCCAGAAATCATGAGATCATGGCTGTGA